AATCAAAACAAACAGAAAAAAGTTTTTGTAAACAAATAAATGCTATTTATATACACAGAGAGCGGACCAAAACCCGTACAAAAATAAATATATAATTAATTAGTGTTTTTGCTTTCAAAACAAACCATAAGTTTATTAACAAAAGTTTATATTAATTATAATTTATAATTCAAATTATAATTGCAAATAACAAGCGCTCAACAAAAGTGTATATAAAAAGTTTTTATGCATTTTTATAATTTGCAAAACAACTCAAAACTCATTGTTTTTGAGTTGCGGTCGACTTTTCAATCAAATGACAGACCGTTTTGGACCAGTCTTTCGGTGACAACGAAGAAGCCATTGAAGAGATGTGTTTATGTGCGACAATACGGCGATACTATTCACTACACAATCACTATCTCATTAGTGAACACCGATATAGCGAACACATATAGTGTACGGCATTAACATAACAACAATAATAATCGCACGACTCGTGAATACCAACTGAAAGTATGTGTGAAATACACAATAAAGCGAGGCTTAAAAGTATTGCCACAATATTTTGTATGGCATTTACAACACGATTACAAAACTGACAGTTCCTATGATTTAAACGTTTAAAACATGAATAAAAAACATGTTTCCCATCAAAAAAAATTTCATACTATAAAAAGCCATTCAAACAAAAATACACTATTTATTAGAGCATCCATTCCTATAGCCATACGCTCTCAAATAGGGTATACTTTTCAGTGTCTATTCGCCCCTAAGTTGTAACGCGTGAGCGATGGCTATAATTTGATGTTCAACTTCACTGTCGAACACAATGCTAAACACTGCCTAAGCCTATGGCTATATCAACAAGTGTTGTGCAGTGAAGCCAAAGCTGCGCTCAAAAGGGGACACAAACAACTTAAGTGGGATAAAGGAGTGGATAAAAAAGTGTAGTTAAAAATGTATATTCAAAAGTGGCTCTCATTGGAAAACATTGTAAATGCAATTCAAAGCTTAAACACAGTTTTGGACGTAATTTGTTGCCAAAAGTGGCGCCAAATGTGTCCGTAATTTGTGTGAATGAATGGTGCGTTTGTTGTGGACTTAAGAGGAATAATGGCGTCGATAAAACTGACAGTTCCTATGATTTAAACGTTTAAAACATGAATAAAAAACATGTTTCCCATCAAAAAAAATTTCATACTATAAAAAGCCATTCAAACAAAAATACACTATTTATTAGAGCATCCATTCGTATAGCCATACGCTCTCGAATAGGGTATACTTTTTAGTGTCGATTCGCCCCTAAGTTGTAACGCGTGAGCGATGGCTATAATTTGATGTTCAACTTCACTGTCGAACACAATGCTAAACAGTGGCAAAGCCTATGGCTATATCAACAAGTGTTGTGCAGTGAAGCCAAAGCTGCGCGCGAAAGGGGACACAAACAACTTAAGTGGGATAAAGGAGTGGATAAAAAAGTGTAGTCAAAAATTAATGTCCAAAAGTGGCTCTCATTGGAAAACACTGTGAATGCAATTCAAAGCTTAAACACAGTTTTGGACGTAATTTGTTGCCAAAAGTGGCGCCAAATGTGTCCGTAATTTGTGTGAATGAATGGTGCGTTTGTTGTGGACTTAAGAGGAATAATGGCGTCGAAAGCAAACACAGCGTCACTGATCGACACTCGGGCCGAGTTGGCCGACCTCGTGAAGCGCAGGGCAGAGATCGCCGTAAGTATTGTCCATCACATCCAACACATCTCACCACTCATTGTCTGATGTCATTGTAGGAGACGTTGTGTTCATTGGAGCGCCAGATATACGCCTTCGAGGGCTCGTACTTAGAGGACACCCATCTCTACGGCAATATCATCCGCGGTTGGGATCGCTATCTCATGGCCAACAGGTCTGCCATTCGTGTTGTCTCTGCGAACGGCTCTCTCATTGAATGTGTGTTTTTGTGGTCTCTTTTAGGAACACAAACAGCAAATCAGACAAAAGGAACCGAAAGTTCAAAGAAGCGGACCGTCTCTTCTCCAAGTCTTCCATTACATCCATTCAAGTGATGACCATTTGATGACCACATGTTTGGCGACCATTGATATAACAATTGACTTATTTTGCTGTTTAGGCGGTCTCTGGACAGCAGTCGGAGAAAGAGTCGGCCGATCATAGCTCTGACAACGAGTCACACAATGCCAACAGCGGTCCCGAAGATGGTATTGAATGACATGTGTTTAACAAAGTGACCCTTTTATTGACAATGCATTTGTGTTGTATGTATAGCGGGAGCGGACGGCCCTCTGTCTGCCGATGAAGGCGTCACTCCCTCTAAGATAGCGAAGTCATCGCAGAATCGGTCCAAAAAGGCCACTTCCAAGAGATCCAGACATAAGTGTGATATATGTCTTGTTTTGGATTTTGCATTACTTATTGTTGTCTTTATTACAGAGCGAGTGATGACTGAAGCGATTGGTATTGTCTTAATTGTTGATTGAAATGAGAAGTGAATGATAATCATTGGATCCGAAGATATTTGTAACGTTTAAGCTGTGGTCTCATTATAACAATGATTTCATGAATTACTTATGATATAAACTCTAAATCGTATTAAATGTAAAATAATGTCATTTTTATAACAATTTCTATTGAATTAATTTGTATTTATTTGAATCAATCGTATGTACAGTGATATGATTTTTGATGCATTTAATAATAATAAATCATTTATTCAATTATTTGTTTAATTATCACTCTTAC